ACACACTTGTGTTGGGCCTAATAGCATCTTTTAACTGTGATTACATTAGTGATGTATAGTCTCGCTGACTGGGGGTGTTTAAAGTTTCCCGAAACCAAAGTTATCCAACTACGTATGATCGAAAGTTCTGTCGTTATCAACATATTGCAGTTTAACGATTTAGTGTTTCCAAAAACCATAGTTCCAATGAACATGCATCAACAGCCTCAAAAATTTGTGTGATTGGAAATGCAGCTCTTGATCTGTGGTTAGAAACATTGTTTCTTGTTAGTTCAACAGGTGGGCCTAAATAGCTCATGCTCGTGAACAAAATAAGCAAGCTAACATATAGTACAATCTATATTTTTTCATTTTATATATGTACAAAACTCTACATCTTTTATTCGTTTGTCAAGAGAACGAAAAGTGTGCATGTGCATAAGTGGTTTAATACCGTGGGAAGCTCAGGAGTATGACGTGAGAGAGAACTTGCAACTGGATAAAACAACTGGAAATAAAGCAAAACAGTGGAGAACAAATAGCGAAGGATTCCTCAGATGCCATGTTGATTATTTACAACAATAATCTGACGAATTCAATCTTGAACCGATTAATTTTTCAAAGTTATTACTCCACTGCCTGCTTGATGTAATTAACAACAGTTGTTGATTATTGAAGCAACATGGCTCGAACAACAACTGTGAAGAGTTACAGCAGTTTAGACAAACAGCCATGACTTGCTAGTTAATTTCTCCAATAATGCAGTGTTATTAATGTTATTTAAGTGGCAAGTTACATCTTATGTATGGGAAACACACCTCTGGTTAGACTGATTTTAGAGGGTCAGGGAAAAAACTAAACCAGTTAAAATCTAGTTTGACCTGCTGGGAGACCATCGTAAACCAGCTAAGACCTAGCTGGCTGGTTTAAATGAGGTTTTAGTAGGACTATTGCTCATTGCTGGTTTTATTTAGTTTTGTTCTGTCCCTGCTTCTCAGAGGACCAAGATGAAATCCATCTGAATGAAGAAAGCAGAATGTAATTACACCCAGTTTCTGAGCAAATAGTCCTGTCACTCTTGCAAAAGCAAATATTTTCCTCAATAATGGAAGCTAGTACAATGCAATAGCAATCATCTTTTTTCCACTAAAGAGCTTGTTTACAGGTCAAGGGGAGGGAGATTAGAGCAATTCAGACTGGATTGGCACCATGACGTACATTTCATTGCACACCACTTCCCTGTTTGTCTTGAATTTGAACTTGAAATTTGAAGGGTTGGAAAAGCCTTGAATCTTAATTATGTGGCGTTTATTTTTCATTTAGCAATAATTAGATTATGGATCCAACATCAGAAGTGTCAAAGCATTGTTGAACGGTTCATTTAACAATGGGTGTTGATCGAGTTTGCTGTAACCTTCACATGCTAAAAAGCACTAATCAACCTGGAGTTACCAGCAATGCAGCATCAACCCGTTCTCACAAAAAATCAAAAATTTTACAAGGTGATCTCATATGAATTCATCTGAAAACTAATTATTTTAAGGAGAAAAAAAAAGGGGGCAACACTTTAGTATAAGGACCAATTCTCACTTTTAACAAGTTGCTTATTAACATGCCTATTATTAACATATTGGCTGTTTACTAGTACTTAAATAAGCACATATTCTGCATGACCATATTCTACATCCCTAATCCTACCCAATACCTAAACTTAACCACCTTACTAACTATTAATAAGCAGCAAATTAGGAATTAATTGAGGTAAAGTCATAGTTAATGGTCTTGTCAGGGAACAAATATATCTGTCGCATTCATGCGACACTATTGCTCAACTCAGGAGCTGCCTGTTCTGTTAGCGTGTGAAAAAGTCACCATAAGCGGCGAAGGTGCGATACAGCACATATGTCTCCCAGGGAGAGACAAACCTCGGCCAGGGTTCACACCTCTCGTTTTTTCTTAGGTCAGAAGGTAAAGCACAACACAAGTGCAAATGCAATCTACGCCACATGTGACGGATGACCTTGCACGTCTTTGACGATGAAAATGAAGACTGGGACAGACGTGAGTGTCTGTGTGTTCAATGCTCCCTCGGTGCGTATGTACATATTTGAAGAAAGATGCAGTCAAAGAAGCAGCAGCAGCGGATCTGTCTTCTGGGTACACTTGAACCGCACCCTTCGCTCAAATCTAATCTTGGGTACAGATGCTCATGGAAAGACAATAGCTCTGTAGGGTCCTCTGGAGGCCTGTCAGCATTTGGATAATCCCATACACAGTGAACAAAGTAAACTCCAAGCCTGGAGATTTAAAGTTTAAATCCCAGCAAAATCTTTCCAGAGTTGTCGCTCAAAACGGACACTGAGCTTTTCTGAGCACCAGTTAAACCATGCCAGATGGGCTTTTCGTGGGTAGATATGATAAAAAAAAAAAGTTATATTCCAGTGTTAAAACTGCCCTCAGCACTTAAAATGTTTAAAAGTGTCTCTTTTGAAGTGATGCATTTCTGTTTGTTTGTATAATAGTAGAATTTCAGTAATAGTGCAGAAAAACGGTCTATATTTAAACTATGGAAAAACAGAGTGAAAATAATAAAACGAGTCAAATCTCTGTGGATGTTTATTACTTTTTTAATAATATGTAAATTAAAAAAATGGCTTCTGATTGATCGATACATTGTTCCAGCAAAGCTAAAATGCACAATATAGCAACAATTTTGATGCGAAAAACCTCTTCACCATGTCACTGTGCAGCTCACACAACCAATCTTTTTGTGGCCATGCTATATTGTACACACTTGTGTTGGGCCTAATAGCATCTTTTAACTGTGATTACATTAGTGATGTATAGTCTCGCTGACTGGGGGTGTTTAAAGTTTCCCGAAACCAAAGTTATCCAACTACGTATGATCGAAAGTTCTGTCGTTATCAACATATTGCAGTTTAACGATTTAGTGTTTCCAAAAACCATAGTTCCAATGAACATGCATCAACAGCCTCAAAAATTTGTGTGATTGGAAATGCAGCTCTTGATCTGTGGTTAGAAACATTGTTTCTTGTTAGTTCAACAGGTGGGCCTAAATAGCTCATGCTCGTGAACAAAATAAGCAAGCTAACATATAGTACAATCTATATTTTTTCATTTTATATATGTACAAAACTCTACATCTTTTATTCGTTTGTCAAGAGAACGAAAAGTGTGCATGTGCATAAGTGGTTTAATACCGTGGGAAGCTCAGGAGTATGACGTGAGAGAGAACTTGCAACTGGATAAAACAACTGGAAATAAAGCAAAACAGTGGAGAACAAATAGCGAAGGATTCCTCAGATGCCATGTTGATTATTTACAACAATAATCTGACGAATTCAATCTTGAACCGATTAATTTTTCAAAGTTATTACTCCACTGCCTGCTTGATGTAATTAACAACAGTTGTTGATTATTGAAGCAACATGGCTCGAACAACAACTGTGAAGAGTTACAGCAGTTTAGACAAACAGCCATGACTTGCTAGTTAATTTCTCCAATAATGCAGTGTTATTAATGTTATTTAAGTGGCAAGTTACATCTTATGTATGGGAAACACACCTCTGGTTAGACTGATTTTAGAGGGTCAGGGAAAAAACTAAACCAGTTAAAATCTAGTTTGACCTGCTGGGAGACCATCGTAAACCAGCTAAGACCTAGCTGGCTGGTTTAAATGAGGTTTTAGTAGGACTATTGCTCATTGCTGGTTTTATTTAGTTTTGTTCTGTCCCTGCTTCTCAGAGGACCAAGATGAAATCCATCTGAATGAAGAAAGCAGAATGTAATTACACCCAGTTTCTGAGCAAATAGTCCTGTCACTCTTGCAAAAGCAAATATTTTCCTCAATAATGGAAGCTAGTACAATGCAATAGCAATCATCTTTTTTCCACTAAAGAGCTTGTTTACAGGTCAAGGGGAGGGAGATTAGAGCAATTCAGACTGGATTGGCACCATGACGTACATTTCATTGCACACCACTTCCCTGTTTGTCTTGAATTTGAACTTGAAATTTGAAGGGTTGGAAAAGCCTTGAATCTTAATTATGTGGCGTTTATTTTTCATTTAGCAATAATTAGATTATGGATCCAACATCAGAAGTGTCAAAGCATTGTTGAACGGTTCATTTAACAATGGGTGTTGATCGAGTTTGCTGTAACCTTCACATGCTAAAAAGCACTAATCAACCTGGAGTTACCAGCAATGCAGCATCAACCCGTTCTCACAAAAAATCAAAAATTTTACAAGGTGATCTCATATGAATTCATCTGAAAACTAATTATTTTAAGGAGAAAAAAAAAGGGGGCAACACTTTAGTATAAGGACCAATTCTCACTTTTAACAAGTTGCTTATTAACATGCCTATTATTAACATATTGGCTGTTTACTAGTACTTAAATAAGCACATATTCTGCATGACCATATTCTACATCCCTAATCCTACCCAATACCTAAACTTAACCACCTTACTAACTATTAATAAGCAGCAAATTAGGAATTAATTGAGGTAAAGTCATAGTTAATGGTTTGTTAATAGCGAGAATTGGACCTTAAAATAAAGTTTGACCGAAAAAAAATAATTATGAAGTAGTAAATTTTAGATTAATTAGCCACCAATTTGCCAAAATGTGTAATACTTAGGAATTGCCATGAGATTGTGTTGGCAGCATTTGGACTTTCTCTGGTAGCTTCATGCCAGATATTTGCCAAAAGTCAGCAGTGGTGTCTTCGATTTTGGTCACACACTGTCCTGCCCCAAATCCCACCTCTCACTCTATGATTAATCATATCACTTCTGCAATATTACAGTGGGACTAACATCCCCCGTGGTGTCCTTAAAAGACACCGCTGAGCCTCTTGCCAGCACCCATCATAAACAATTACACACACCGCAACCTGATGATCATCTTGATGGATGCACTTTTTTTCTTGGAAAGTGTTTCCTGGCGGGGGGAGGGAAGCGATGCGTGTTCACCTCTCTTTTTCTCTGCTCCCCACAGCTCGAGTTTGTGACAACGTGCTCCTGCGCTGTCAGAATGGTGGCGTGTGTCACCACCACCAGCGCTGCCAGTGTCTGGCCGGTTTCGGAGGCATACTGTGTGAGAAGGCCCAGTGCCAGGGTGACTCTTGTGAGGATCTGCAATCCAGCCAGCCGTCCCTCCGCCCCCCGCCCACGGCCCAGACTCTCCCGCTGGCTCTTCTATCTCTCATCCCCTCCCTGCTGGCCACCCGGGGCCTTACATCACTCTAAGGGGAACGCTTTCGCCCCAAAGACATTCTCCACGGGGGCTCCAATCATGACTTCCTGTTAGAGGACACACGACGACTGAAAATAAATGCTGGTGGGGGAAAAAAACGAAACATATTTTTAGGAAACCGTAAAGTTTTCTACTCGTTACTATGTCAATTAAAGTTTGCCAGAGATGATGAATAAACTGAAAAACTAGAAACTGCAAGAGGAAATTTACAACAACAAAAAAAACAACATAAAAAAAGCTGATACTAATGACCATCTTTGTCTTTGTTGAAAGAGCACAGAAAGACTGCAATACAATTTTTTTGGAGACAAATCATCAATGTGAAGATGAATCAAGATGTACTCGTAGACTGCCACCTGAAATTTACGCACACACCAACACGACTGGTTGTCAAACTTCTCACACTTTACCTTTTCCTGACCCTCTCTCTTCTTCTTGTAACTCTGTGAAGTCATGTAAAAGACCCGTGATGTATGTCACACATGAATTGATCCAGATTATCATTCAGAGCTGGTGTAAGATCAAATATACAGTAACATGAGAGACAACTGTTGACATTTTGTACTGGGATGTTTTCATGGCAATGAGAACTAGAACAAGAAGAAAGACCCAGATCAGCAATGTGACTTTTTGCATCGCTGCAACAACCTGTAGAATTTGGGTTGATCCTTTATTGCCCTGATGAAGTTGAATATTCCTGTTCAGTTGCTAATCGTTTTTGCTTAAAACATACGTTTACATTCTCACCGACCGAACTGTATGAAAGGTTTCACCAAAGGGCTTTGGTGAGAAATCCTTTGTTGCTTGAAGCCAACTATGTTTGTGAATTAAAGATGAAAAAAATAACTATTGCCATTTTGTGAAAGCGAATATTCAAAGATAACAGGTGATTTCTGTTCATGTGTTCTCAGAAGTTTAGGCTTGTTTTCAAAGCTCTTAGCAACCATACAAATTGCAGGTGTATTGAATTTAGTGGTTAGCACTCTCCCAAACATTACAATTGTTAAGAATGGAGTAAAAAGGCTAGAAACGCTCTTTGAACTCAAAATCGAAAACTGATATAGATGAAACATGTTCAGCTTTATGTCAGTGTTCTGAAAAAGGAATTTAAACATGATGGGCCTCATAGACAGATTCTGTTTAGACTTAGCAATTAGCTAACATACAATAAAGACTGATATACCTGTAAGGTAAGGTCATTATCCAGCCAGTCATAATCACAGAATAAACCACATCAGAGTGATCAGAGATTATGACCACTTGACAGTAATCATTATCTTGCTTATTAGATGGTAATTTACCAAATTGAAACACTGCAACTATACTATTGCAATGTTTGTACTTTTTATATATAGCCTGATAATAATATACACTGCTGTTGAAAAGTCTGGGATCAGAAAGATTTTCTTTTCTTTTAATTAATACTTTTATTCAGCAAGGATGGAATAAATTGATTAAAAGTGACGTTACAAAGGATTTCCATTTCAAATGCTGTTCTTTTGAACTTTCTATTCTTCAAAGAATCCTGAAAAAAATGTATCATGGTTTCCACAAAAATATTAAGCCACAATATTAACCATTTTCAACACTGATAAGAATAAGAAATGCTTCTTAAGCACCAAATCAGAACATTAGAATGATTTCTGAAGGATAATGTGACACCGAAGACAGAAGTAACCACTGCTGGAAATTCAGCTTTGCCATTACCGGAATAATATTAAAACAATATTAAATAAATATATTTTAAAATATTACTATTCTCACTGTATTTTTGATCAAATAAATGCAGAATTGGTGGGCACAAATGACTTTCAAAAACATTTTAAAAAATCTTACTGACAAGCTTTTGAATGGTAGTATATATTATATACTGCATTTAGCTTATATCTTTACGTCTATTTTAAGTGCTCTCTCTTTGTGGGTAAATGATTGGGTGAACTATCTTTTTAATGTACCCAAATTATCAATTACTGGATGACATTCCTGTAGCTCAAACTGTAAAACATGCTTCTAGCAACACCAATGGTCATGGGTTCAATTGCATGAACTGGTAAAATTAAAAACCTTCAAATGCAATGTAAGTCGCTTTGGGTAAAAGCGTGTGCAAAATGAATAGGTGTTAATGTAAATGACCCTATCACTCAATAGCTGGTACTCTACAGTCAAGGCATCATTTCTGAAAGCTCAAATTTCAACTGAAATCTACTCATAAATATAGTACTAACAGGGCTGGATCTGAGGACACGGCAATAAAAGTTTTCCAGCAGAGACTGAAATCAAATGTAAATCACAAACGAATGAGTAAGAGAAGTGTGTTGACGAAATATGGATTGGAGAATGTCACTCACTGCGAGGCATAACACGCAGTCGTGATACGGCAATCATTTTCAAGTCCACGCTGGGCACTCGAATGGAAATGAAGTCATTCTGTGCCTGTGACACACGGTGGAAGCGGGTCTGAGGCTGGATAGATTACATTAGTGAGATTAGGCCTCTTCATTTCAATCAAATGAAATCCTCTATCGCCCTTGATCTTAATAACTTTTCTCCCAAAAGACAAGTATAAGTGAAGATGTCATTTTATTTTGAGAAATAACTGCCATGTCCATTTACTCCATTGTAAATTCCATTGATGATTAGGTCCAGGTTCACCATTTTTGTTCGATTCATTTCATTCAGCTTAATAGATGCGGTCAAATAATTAGAAACACTTTGCACTTCCAAGATGGAAATTTAAGATTGGCCAGATAAATGAGTATAAACATTGCACCCTCAAAAAAAACAAGCCGTACCGCATCTCATTAGGTTTGAATGCAAATGCTGTCAGAATGCTAATGAGTCTGTAATGAGACTGAATACAAACTCCCCCCAGCAGACTACCACCTCTATTTCTGACGGACATCAAGGGTCAATGAGGGTACATGGCATTCTTCATTCCTCATACTTTACAATAATAACTGGATGCTCTTTAGAAAACAGCTTCTTTTTCAACCGAGACTATTGTTATATATTTTAGCAGCTATTTTTACACAATGTGTCCCTGATTGTGTATTTTGAAAGCTCTGCATACTAAAAAAGGTGAAACAATTCTTTGACTTTCCCTCAAGCTGTGAATGAATCCTGAGGCTATTATTTGTCACCTGTTGGAAACAACATCGACATGAGTATATACACACAAACTCTAGATGAATCATTTTACAGTGCCATTTCAAAACTACACAAAAGGCCCCCGAGACGGTGAAATCTCTTTCAGTACGGTCTTTATACCATCACTGTGGGATTATCCATGGCTTACAAAACTAATGGCTCGTCCTCAAGGTCCCATTTTTCAAAGCGGCAGAACGGCATGAGGAGCTTCCCACTTGAGACTGTCCCTGACAATGTTACTATTACGTTTTTGAAAGAAGTATCTTATGTACACCAAGGCTGCATTTATTTGATCAAAAGTACAGCAAAAACAGTAATATAGTGAAATAATTTCATATATTTTAGGTTGAATTTTCAGCAGCCATTACTCCAGTCTTCAGTATCACATGATCCTTAAGAAATCATTCTAATATGCTGATTTAGTGCTCAAGAAATATTTGTTATTATTATCAATGCTGAAAACAGTTGTGGTGATTACAATTTTTGTGGAAACCGTGATGGATTTCTTATTCAGGATTCTTAGATTAATAGAAAGTACAAATGTATTTACTGACACTTGATCAATTTAATGTGTACTTGCTGTAAGGAAGTACACTTGGGGAAGTCGTGGCCTAATGGTTAGAGAGTCGGACTCATAACCAAAGGTTGCGGGTTCGAGTCTCGTACCGGCAGGGATTGTAGGTGGGGGGAGTGAATGTACAGCGCTCTCTCCCACCCTCAATACCACGACTGAGGTGCCCTTGAGCAAGGCACCGAACCCCCAACTGCTCCCCGGGCGCCGCAGCAAAAAAAAATGGCTGCCCACTGCTCCGGGTGTGTGTTCACGGTGTGTGTGTGTGTGTGTTCACTGCTGTGTGTGTGCACTTTGGATGGGATAAATGCAGAGCACTAATTCCGAGTATGGGTCACCATACTTGGCCACATGTCACATCACTTTTTCACTTTCACACTTTAAAAGTGAATATAGGCCTATAGGATGTATAGAATTGTCCTGACTGCACATCAGTTGTAGATTGTGTTGATTTATGAAAATATCAGTGCTGAGTATCTTAATGGGAGCTAAACACTATCATGACATGCCAAAGACAAGGAGGCTTCCGTGCTGGATATTAACCACAGGGAGCTTCGCTTCGGTTATCTAGCCCAGTGTGTGCCATGCCTTTCAATTCTCTTCAAGGACTAAAGGGTGGGACATATTTAGTCAATGCACTCTTGGATCCTGCCAGTCAGCATTACATAATTAAACATGATTAATCCATAATTGGAGACATGCAGTTAATTGTCCATAAGCAAACACTGTATATGGGGAATATAGGCATTATCTAGTGAGCAACAATAACTTCCGGAATTGCTAAAAATTGATTCAGTAAATGGTCACACCATGGTTGTGATTCTTTAAATAGCAGCCATAACAATGCACACATTTTTTTTCTGTTTCAGTTTAATCTGGTTAGGTTTCATTTAATCAGGTTACTTCCCATCCTGGTAAATCAATAAAGTGTAAATCTAAAAGGATTAACTCAGAATGTTGTAGTTGTATACGAGGTGAGGGAGATGTGACACCGTTATACATTTTCCATTTAGGAGACAGTTTTAGGGTTTAAAAGGAGGACGAGACTACATTCTTCATCAACAACCGCCTTATCAGATATAATGAGTGCATTTGCATATAACCTTTATCTCACTTGTAGCTTGTTGATGGAGGCTGCAAACTTACAATGAAGAAAAAGAGAAAGCGAATGGAGCCATTGTGAAGAGTGGTAAAGAAGATTGTAGGGTTCCATATGTGACATACATTCTGCTTATTTAACGGTGTAAACAAAGTCAAAGAATTAGTAGGGTTTTCTATTCCCTCATATTGTAAATGAACACATTTTAGAAAGGGGACACAAGCTGCATCAATTTGAACAGGCAAGACACTTCCGAACAAGTATAATGAGAGAAACCATTGGAGAAAAAACATAAATCAATGCGTTTCATTCTACAATGAGCTCTGTGCCATCAGTTCAGAAGAATACCTGTGGTGAGCAGAGACATGTGGGGTTGTATTTAGTGATGATTCATCAAATGGGCTTCACGAAGACAGTTTGATGGACATGGCATCATTAATGCATAATGTGGAGCGCTTAGGTCACTCAGTCATCAAATATTCAGCAGTTAACACAAGCACTTAGACGTGAGTGTCACGAAAACATGCATTATATACTAATTTAACTTTTGTGTTATGTGAAGACCGAATATGAATACGTTTTGTTCATAGTTATGTATACACTTGAGGGTATAATCACAGAAAGCCACACTGCTTAGATCAAACTTCGATTCAAGTTGTCAAGCGACACCAGAGTCACAAGCCTCATCATTCACTCCTGAAATGGATTTTAAAAATGACTTGACATGCAGCTGAATTTCTGCTGTCTTTAAATTGGAAAGACGTTATAACCGTCCTAGTTACTTTGCACTGGTTGGGCTACAAGAAAAAAAAACGGGGAGGGGGGAATCACCTTCTTTGCAAATACCAGAATTAGTCTGATGTGAAAGACGTCTACCAAAAAAATAAATTCATGCACAAACAAAAATGGTGTTTCATTCAGCATGTTTTCAAACAATATACACATTTTGTCAGACACAAACCCCAAATATTGCAAGTCATATACAAATATATACATACTATTCAAGTTTGCCATGAGCATGAGTGCGTACGTATGTGTGTGTGTGTGTGTGTGTGTGAGGAACTGAAATGTCCAGCACAGTCCATTGCATCATAAAATAAAGAAAACCAGTCCTATCTATAGATGAGCAGAGTTATGAGGGCTGATGATGATGTCCTAAACTTGGATGTCTGGTCAGCATGAAGATTTCATTCCAAATACACCCAAGGAGTTGCTTCAGCAATATAGTAAGGCCATAGTCCATAAACACAACGAGGTAGCATAAATAGATCCTCTACAAAAGAAAACATCAAATAAACTAATTAAAGGTGCAGTAGGAGATCTTGGAAAATGCTAACTTTAGCCTGAACGCATATATGTTGACCAATAATTTTCTCCTATTAAATTCGGATAAGACAGAGATATTAATTATTGGACCAAAAAACAGTACACAGAATCTCTTGGATTACAATATGCAACTAGACGGATGTACTGTTACTTCCTCTACAGTCAAAAATCTGGGTGTTATATCAAATAAACTTGAATTGAATTGAATATACGCTCACAGACCAGAATACCAGAGACAACATTACTACAATAGGCTACATCAGCGGTTCCCAATTCCAGTCATCGCCCCCCCTGCACATTTCATATGTATCTCTTATCACGTGTGACGTTTGTTCTATTCGACCGTAAGCGCCCTGCGAAGTGGACATCACCAGACATTCCGCCATCCAATTCGAAGCGAGCGTTTATGTTCCATACAAAGGGCATTAAAATGTGTGAGACGTAAATTTAAATAGAATTTATTTACAGAGGTATATTATGTCACACTTCACACTTCTCTAGTAAGTTTCGTCTGTGTGTGAA